CAGTCATTTTAAAAGAAAAATTGAGCTGGAGTAGATTTAGAAGAGAAATGACACAAATAATAAAATTGTTAGAATAGGTCATATACTAATCCTAATTACTCTGGCATTCTATTCACTTGAGTCGGCATTCAAATGATAGTTGTGGAAAGAAATCGTCATTTCAAAAGCATATCACACATGGATTTTATTTCTTTATCTACAATATTTTCAAACAGGTTATGTCTCTTAATACTAATACACTCCCTAAACATACATTTTCCCCTCCTGAATCTATTTTAGTTTACATCTGTGTTAGCCACACCTTCTTCAGGCACGTGCCTAGTCTTGCCATTTCTTACGCAGGCGTAAATGTTTAGACAGTAATGTACAGTGTTTTGCTCTACCTCTTCCACTTCACTTCTGTGCCATTTGGATACAGGATAGAGCTTGTATCAAGATTATGACTAAGAGATAGTTCATTTAAAATTAAGAAAGTGTCAACATTACCAAAGAACATTCATTTTCGTAAGTGAAATTAAGCTGAGAGCATGTATTTATATTTGTCAGGGTTACTTTTCAATTGAATAGTATTACATCCTATTGAGTAAATATTTTGGGTATCACAGGATCTTATGGTTTCATTCCTGCCCTAATTTCCATCAAAATATAGTTAGACACAGAGAAAGTATTTAGATGTATATGTTTGCTATGAACTTTGAAACATGACATCGGTATCAGCTTGTAGATAACGACCTTTACATCCATGTACAATATCCATGTACAAATGACAAGTTCTTTCTACAATTATCATTTGAATGCTGTCCCAGGCACAGGTCACTTATTTCCCTAACTTTTATAGGAACAGAGTTCTGACGTTTATTGATTCCAAACTGATGCAAAAAAAAGTCAATAAAACACTTATACACAACCAAAAGTCACAAACAAACACCACCATTCATCAGAAATCAATTACTGAAGTCTGAAACTGCAATACATCATACCCCTCTAGGGGTAAATGGTGATTGGTCAATAATCCAAAAATTCCCCTAATTAGCATATCAACGTAAACATAGCTTCATTAGACAGACTTACCCTGGCCCTGGCAAAACCAACCCCTAAGAATTAAACAGATACAAATGAATAATTAGCATAAGATTAACAGCCAAGATAACAAAGGAAATAAACAAAAACAAAATATATACCAGTATGAAGAAAAATAATGAAAGTTCCAATACAAAGCTGTATATAAACTATAATTATCATCCAGAATGATTTCGATTATTCAACACAAAAATTTGGTTATTTGTTAGTTTGAACAATTTAATAGCGAAAAAAAAAAAAACTATCTGAGTTTGTTAATATTCCGATAATAACAATGGATTGTAGAGAAACAAGGATTAGGATTGAGACTACAACCAATTCTTTGAAGTACAAGTGTCAGTTAACTCCAAAAGAAAACTTAACTGGCCTTATCTTCAGGTTAATGCCCAAAGTTACATGTAGAATCAGCTCTATATAATGTCATGCTGTGATTGGTTGTATCAAGAGTTTATCAGCCAGAATGCCGAGTTGTGTTTCGATGCATCAGGAGTTGTTCACAGTAGCAATATTTGCGCAGGTCTGGGTAGCGCTGTTGTATACAGGCTGGCTGGTTACCATACAAATCCAAACGACTGATCATCTCTGGGTTAACCTTGACAGTGCCATCAGTTACATTCATTAAAATAGTGGCCTCATACATACCATTGTTTGGAACAGTAACCATGGTGATTTGGTAATGTACAATGTCTACCTTGGCTTCCTGACTGAAGTTTGCTACTCTGTTGTCTTCATCCTTGGATCTCAGGTATGTTATTACCTGTGAGGAAGAATATCAAAAATCAGACAGGTATGTTATTACCTGTGAGGAAGAATATCGAAAATCAGACAGGTATGTTATTACCTGTGAGGAAGAATATCAAAAATCAGACAGGTATGTTATTACCTGTGAGGTCAGATAATAATTAATATGTCAAGTGTATCAGAACTCGTGTGGAAAGATAAAGAAATGGCATAAAAAATTATCTTATAATAAAAGTCCATTTTAAATGTAAAAAATATGGAAATCGGAGATCAAATTACATATGTATATGGATTAAATGTAATCATCTTATATGTTATTGAGCCATAAAATGAAAATTAAAGATAACCGCTATTAGCATAAAAAAGACAAAGAGGGGGACATAATTTTATAAATCAATATTACCTTTTCATTTGGAATCATTAGGTAAGCTAGTATGATCTCCTTCACTTGTAACTTGACACACTCCGACCTGACTGGCTCAGTCAACTGATTTATATAAGAAAGAATCTCATTGGCTGCCATTTGAACCTTCTCACTTTTGACATCCCTGTTTTCTTGTAACAGACATGTACACCAGTGGACATCGATGTGAGCCATTGAACATGTGCGATTTCCTGGAATCTGCTGTAGCAGACTGATGCCTCTACTGTAAGGAGAAGTGGACTTACTAGCTCGTGACAAATCTAAAACATCCTTAAGAGTCTCATGAATATCAAAAGGAGTTGTGAGTCATTTTTTGAGTTCCTTCGGAGATTCTCCATCAGTCTCGGGTAAAATGATTGATATTTAGGTGGAAATCTGAGAGCAAACATCGGCAGCCTCTCCTCCAGTTTACCTTGTATTGTGTGTCTCACACGGCTATATCGAGCACCATGATCTGACATCAGTATAAGTAAGGTATTGTCAAGAAAATTAGATTTCTCAAAATATTTCAAAAACTTTAACAAATCGTTGTCAATATATTCACCTGGATTGTTATCCCAGTGGGTTAGTTCAACATGAAAGCAAAAGCAAACTTAGACACATTGTTGTACTTAATAAAGAAATCCTTCACATAGTCGAGAGTGTATGTGTGATGTGGTGTTGCTCCTGTGCAGTAACGTACACTATCCTCGCGTAGCTGGGATCCCCACAGCGCTTGCCAAAATGGACGCATGTAGTGATCTGTTGGTTGGTTATCAAATCCCGATAATCGTAAATTGAAGGCACTTATACTTGGTTCATCCTCTGCAAATAACGTTGCATAGCCTTGGTCCCTGAAATTGTTCCAGATCATTGGGTACCTGTTCACAGTGTCTGTACCTTCGTGATGTATCCGAGCCTCTGGCAATTCCACTTCAGTTTTACCTAAACATAAGACAGTGCATGAACATAATTTACACCGGATCACAAAAGTATTCCACAATTTTTTAAAATCAGAATCAACATTCTTGAATACTATACATGAGGAAATGTTTGGAACAATTTAAGTTTCATACTTTGGTCAAATGGGCAAAAATGAAAGGTGATCTGGCATGAGAACTGAAATATATGTTACGATGCATTTAGAGCTCATTCAGCAAAGGGCGAAAATGAACAACTTTATGTGAGGGCAAAGATGAGTAACTTCATGTGCCAGGGCGAAAATAAATAACTTCATGCAATGGTAAAAAAATATCCAAGGGGAATGTTTCCCTTTAAGTAGAACATGATCCAAAATCCAAAATTGTTAGGAAACAAAAGTCATATACAGATCACTTTTTACATGTATCACTTACTATCTCAGGATTTTTACTCAAAATTTCAATTTTTCAATACAAATCTATTTCCAGAAAGTGGGCACACATGGTCTTTTATTTCTTCATCCTAATATGCTCATGGCAAGGTACTCTCTTAGTATACTACACTCCCTAAACATATATTTTCCCTTCCTGAATCTATTTTAGTTTACATCTGTGTTAGCCACACCTTCTTCAGGCACGCGCCTAGTCTTGCCATTTCTTACGCAGGCGTAAATGTTTAGACAGTAATGTACAGTGTTTTGCTCTACCTCTTCCACTTCACTTCTGTGCCATTTGGATACAGGATAGAGCTTGTATCAAGATTATGACTAAGAGATAGTTCATTTAAAATTAAGAAAGTGTCAACATTACCAAAGAACATTCATTTTCGTAAGTGAAATTAAGCTGAGAGCATGTATTTATATTTGTCAGGGTTACTTTTCAATTGAATAGTATTACATCCTATTGGGTAAATATTTTGGGTATCACAGGATCTTATGGTTTCATTCCTGCCCTAATTTCCATCAAAATATAGTTAGACACAGAGAAAGTATTTAGATGTATATGTTTGCTATGAACTTTGAAACATGACATCGGTATCAGCTTGTAGATAACGACCTTTACATCCATGTACAATATCCATGTACAAATGACAAGTTCTTTCTACAATTATCATTTGAATGCTGTCCCAGGCACAGGTCACTTATTTCCCTAACTTTTATAGGGACAGAGTTCTGACGTTCATTGATTCCAAACTGATGCAAAAAAAAAAGTCAATAGAACACTTATACACAACCAAAAGTCACAAACAAACACCACCATTCATCAGAAATCAATTACTGAAGCCTGAAACTGCAATACATCATACCCCTCTAGGGGTAAATGGTGATTGGTCAATAATCCAAAAATTCCCCTAATTAGCATATGAACGTCAACATAGCTTCATTAGGCAGACTTACCCTGGCCCTGGCAAAACCAACCCCTAAGAATTAAACAGATACAAATGAATAATTAGCATAAGATTAACAGCCAAGATAACAAAGGAAATAAACAAAAACAAAATATATACCAGTATGAAGAAAAATAATGAAAGTTCCAATACAAAGCTGTATATAAACTATAATTATCATCCAGAATGATTTCGATTATTCAACACAAAAATTTGGTTATTTGTTAGTTTGAACAATTTAATAGCGAAAAAAAAAAAACTATCTGAGTTTGTTAATATTCCGATAATAACAATGGATTGTACAGAAACAAGGATTAGGATTGAGACTACAACCAATTCTTTGAAGTACAAGTGTCAGTTAACTCCAAAAGAAAACTTAACTGGCCTTATCTTTAGGTTAATGCCCAAAGTTACATGTAGAATCAGCTCTATATAATGTCATGCTGTGATTGGTTGTATCAAGAGTTTATCAGCCAGAATGCCGAGTTGTGTTTCGATGCATCAGGAGTTGTTCACAGTAGCAATATTTGCGCAGGTCTGGGTAGCGCCGTTGTATACAGGCTGGCTGGTTACCATACAAATCCAAACGACTGATCATCTCTGGGTTAACCTTGACAGTGCCATCAGTTACATTCATTAAAATAGTGGCCTCATACATACCATTGTTTGGAACAGTAACCATGGTGATTTGGTAATGTACAATGTCTACCTTGGCTTCCTGACTGAAGTTTGCTACTCTGTTGTCTTCATCCTTGGATCTCAGGTATGTTATTACCTGTGAGGAAGAATATCAAAAATCAGACAGGTATATTATCACCTGTGAGTAAGCATACCAAAATTCAGACAGGTATGTTATTACCTGTGAGGAAGAATATCAAAAATCAGACAGGTATGTTATTACCTGTGAGGTCAGATAATAATTAATATGTCAAGTGTATCAGAACTCGTGTGGAAAGATAAAGAAATGGCATAAAAAATTATCTTATAATAAAAGTCCATTTTAAATGTAAAAAATATGGAAATCGGAGATCAAATTACATATGTATATGGATTAAATGTAATCATCTTATATGTTATTGAGCCATAAAATGAAAATTAAAGATAACCGCTATTAGCATAAAAAAGACAAAGAGGGGGACATAATTTTATAAATCAATATTACCTTTTCATTTGGAATCATTAGGTAAGCTAGTATGATCTCCTTCACTTGTAACTTGACACACTCCGACCTGACTGGCTCAGTCAACTGATTTATATAAGAAAGAATCTCATTGGCTGCCATTTGAACCTTCTCACTTTTGACATCCCTGTTTTCTTGTAACAGACATGTACACCAGTGGACATCGATGTGAGCCATTGAACATGTGCGATTTCCTGGAATCTGCTGTAGCAGACTGATGCCTCTACTGTAAGGAGAAGTGGACTTACTAGCTCGTGACAAATCTAAAACATCCTTAAGAGTCTCATGAATATCAAAAGGAGTTGTGAGTTTTTTTGAGTTCCTTCGGAGATTCTCCATCAGTCTCGGGTAAAATGATTGATATTTAGGTGGAAATCTGAGAGCAAACATCGGCAGCCTCTCCTCCAGTTTACCTTGTATTGTGTGTCTCACACGGCTATATCGAGCACCATGATCTGACATCAGTATAAGTAAGGTATTGTCAAGAAAATTAGATTTCTCAAAATATTTCAAAAACTTTAACAAATCGTTGTCAATATATTCACCTGGATTGTTATCCCAGTGGGTTAGTTCAGACATGAAAGCAAAAGCAAACTTAGACACATTGTTGTACTTAATAAAGAAATCCTTCACATAGTCGAGAGTGTATGTGTGATGTGGTGTTGCTCCTGTGCAGTAACGTACACTATCCTCGCGTAGCTGGGATCCCCAGAGCGCTTGCCAAAATGGACGCATGTAGTGATCTGTTGGTTGGTTATCAAATCCCGATAATCGTAAATTGAAGGCACTTATACTTGGTTCATCCTCTGCAAATAACGTTGCATAGCCTTGGTCCCTGAAATTGTTCCAGATCATTGGGTACCTGTTCACAGTGTCTGTACCCTCGTGATGTATGCGAGCCTCTGGCAATTCCACTTCAGTTTTACCTAAACATAAGACAATGCATGATCATAATTTACACTGGATCACAAAAGTCCTCCACAATTTTTAAAAATCAGAATCAACATTCTTGAATACTATACATGAGGAAATGTTTGCAACAATTTAAGTTTCATACTTTGGTCAAATGGGCAAAAATGAAAGGTGATATAATCAGGCATGAGAACTGAGATATATGTTACGATGCATTTAGAGCAAATTCAGCAAAGGGCGAAAATAAACAGCTTTACGTGAGGGCAAAGATGAGCAACTTCATGTGCCAGGGCGAAAATAAACAACTTCATGCAATGGTAAAAAAATATCCAAGGGGAATGTTTCCCTTTAAGTAGAACATGATCCAAAATCCAAAATCAAGGAAACAAAAGTCCAAGACAGATCACTTTTTACATGTATCACTTACTATCTCAGCTCTGATTTTTACTCAAAATTTCAATTTTTCAATACATCCAACTATCATCCAGAAAGTGGGCAAAGGTCTTTCTAACAAAATATAAAGACCTTCATCCTAATATGCTCATGGCAAGGTAGGTATGGGATAGGTGTAAACATACCTGTCAGTATATAAGGATAGGTGTAAACTTACCTGTCAGTACATAAAGATAGGTGTAAACACACCTGTCAGTACATAAGGATAGGTGTAAACTTACCTGTCAGTATCAGATAGGTGTAAACTTACCTGTCAGTACATAAGGATAGGTATAAACTTACCTGTCAGTACATAAGGATAGGTATAAACTTACCTGTCAGTATGAGATAGGTGTAAACTTACCTGTCAGTATACAAGGACAGGTGTAAACTTACCTGTCAGTATATAAGGATAGGTGTAAACATACCTGTCAGTACATAAGGACAGGTATAAACTTACCTGTCAGTATGAGATAGGTGTAAACTTACCTGTCAGTACATAAGGATAGGTATAAACTTACCTGTCAGTACATAAGGATAGGTATAAACTTACCTGTCAGTATGAGATAGGTGTAAACTTACCTGTCAGTATACAAGGACAGGTGTAAACTTACCTGTCAGTATACAAGGACAGGTGTAAACTTACCTGTCAGTATACAAGGACAGGTGTAAACTTACCTGTCAGTATGAGATAGGTGTAAACTTACCTGTCAGTATGAGATAGGTGTAAACTTACCTGTCAGTATAAGAGAGGTGTAAACTTACCTGTCAGTATACAAAGACAGGTGTAAACTTACCTGTCAGTATGAGATAGGTGTAAACTTACCTGTCAGTATGAGATAGGTGTAAACTTACCTGTCAGTATGAGACAGGTGTAAACTTACCTGTCAGTATGAGATAGGTGTAAACTTACCTGTCAGTATAGGTATCAGGGCAGCTGTTGTGGCATCGCCTACAATGTTATAAGCGTCCAGAATGACCATGTCCAGTTGATCCCTGAGATATCGATATGTATTTGGCAGCTTCCGCTGGTAGGCGAGGTGAGACATGGAATCCAAACCAAGGATGAGGACATTCAGACGTGTTGAATGTTTATTCCAATTACTATCCTGAATCCTTTGAAAGACATTTTGTTTTGGGTGAACCTGTACTAAAAATTGATCAAAATCAGCTACCTCCTGTTCATCTGGATCTATGTGATAGTCGTTCCAGGAATTCCAAGAATCATAGGAAAAGTTCCCATCAAAGTCATAGTTACTACCAAACAAGGCATCTCTCCCATGCTCATTCAAAGTTTTATCCACATCTTGGAAATTTTCATGGTTCATTTGATCAAATTCAACAGGCCTAAAATTCTTTTCTGTGTCCTCATCTTCCAACTCTGGCAGATCCTTCTCATCTGCCTTTTTCTCATCTGAATCAGTTTCTTTTTTGTCATCTTCTGGATGATGATAAAAACATTTTACTGACATAAAGTCATGTTCTACTAGCAAGCTGAAAGGTGGTGTTTCCTTGACAATGGATTCTGTAAATGTGTAATAATCATCAGTCACTCTCTCTATACCTCTGTATAAACATTTACGAATAGTTTTTGTTTCATCTGCTGTAATATTTGTTTTTGATTCTCTGAACTCATGATGGTTATACAGATCTACTGGATATAAAACGGTATCATTCATACGAAGAACGCCTTTCTCAAAGTAAAACAAATTCTTCCCTATACAAACTAATGGATCCATAGGATGAAAGGCACTTCGTAGAGAATCTTGAAAAAGTGACAGTTTTGGATGACGACATACTTGTTCTGTCCGACTGCTAGATTGTCTAATTAATTTCTTAGGCATATGTTGTAGCAATCTGAAGTAGTTGACACTAGAAGTCAATGTCTTAGGGGAGTTTTTCGTCAGAATACTGAATCCATAAAAAAGGTTTGAGAACACAACCAACACAAGAACGCATAGCGACAATAGAATGGTTTTACCAAACCTAGATCTCAGAAATGGAGAGACACGCCAGATTTTCATGGTAGGATTTCAACATTATCCTAAATTAATTCCAGTTGGTCACCACAATAAATATCCATCATATCTGCAAAAAAAAGAGAAATTCATTATTCATTTTAAAATGAAGGAATTACAGTAGCTCTTTGAATGTACTGATTGATTATATTTGTTTAAACTTCTACATCTTAATCATTACTCCATACCTGGTCTAGCTGTCATGTATTAAATTAGTGTCATGTTTTGTAATCAAGTCTTATGTCATCTGTTACAGGGATTTTTACACTGCTTTTTCATCATCTGCAGTTATCTTTATACCTAGATATTAATATTAACTATTGGTAGGCATCTTGCGATTAACTGACTTAATTGTGAAATTTAGTCTGCCAAGGATAAAAAACATTGTTCCAAACCTACAAAAAGTAAACTCTTACATAATTGGTGTCCATGATCAAAATGTGTATGATACTTCTGTTGTCTGAAAAACAGAGTTGATATATTTCTTTAACTGTCACTAGCTCTGACACTTACACATGTAAGGTAGTAGGAAAATGCTATGCATGTGTTGCTAAAAATATTTCTTACATATCAAGTGCTATCCATTCACTGAAACCAAGTAAAATATAAAATCACGGATTGATGTAGTCACAAGTCTACCAACTGAGTCATAGAAACATGTACCATCAACAGATTGACAGAAACCGTGTTTATGCCACAAGACAAATGGACCCGCTCCTTTTAACAATTTAATATCCAGAGCCCGGAGAAAGCTGGAAGTGTTCATTAGGTAAAAAGTGTTTGATGTGATATTGTTGATATTGTTGATAATGTTTTGTTTTGTATCACTACAGCGCTAATGGTGTTATGTTACATGAAGCGACTTTATTTAAATTTTATTAAAACTCTTGAGGCGTTACAACAATATGGTTACGTTATATCTAACTGGACTGAAGCAGCCATTCAAGTGCAAAATCTTTCTAAAAGAAACCCGACAAAGAAAAAAGGATAATGCTTCTTATGCAGACGTATGTTAGTAACTTATGACATCAATTTCATCTGCAATCATCGAGCCATATTTTCAAAATTGTTTCCATAACCAAGGTCCGGTCGCATTTTGTCTTACCTTTTAGTATTGGAGCTCTCTATAAATGAGGTACTAAAATGTTGACTTCCTGTTAGATGGCGGGAGAAAAGTTGATGATTTGCTGTATGTGGTAAGTCTGTATTTGAGATGTTAGGCCGATTTTAACCATTTTACGTCTCGAAAACATTGAAATCCATCTAGATTTGACACGTGACATAAGTTTGTTATACGTTTTAATTTATCATGGCTGATGCTAACAAGGTGCTGAGTTGCAAATTTGATTGTTTACAAAATTACCACCAGTATCCTTGACGCATTAGTTTCTGACCCCTTCAGAACCATTTCACGCTAACTACGCTATGTCAACGAATTTTCACCAAACAAATAAATAAATTTATTCAAATATATTCATATTATAAGAGTTATTTTGAAATGTCTGTGAAACACCAGTATTTCTCTAATAAAAATATTCACAGACCCGTCTTCAAATTCGCTCACCTTAAAAGATCGACATGTGTATCGGACATATGAGTGTACTTCCGTTTCTGATGGCATCACTAAATCTCAGAACCGCTTGACACAGCTTAACAGCTTACAGTGACCTAGAAGTACACACGTATTATATAAATCATCAGTTGAACGAAAATGACATTCTGATGACTGAAAAAATCAAACAAACAAACCATATTTCTTGGTAAACTTCTATTTGGTAAACAAATTATTTAGATAAAGTTGAGTTTTCATCAGTCAGTCTACAATCTGCTAGTTAATTAAAATCAAATGAGTCATCAAATGTGATAATTTAAAAACACCACTATTCCCTTATAAGACATGCATGTTTGGACTGTCGTTGCCAAAAATTTGCAAGTAGGCATGACCTTTTATTCTTGGTCAATTCTTATTCACATGGCAGAAGACAACAGTACACGGGCATGCGAGGATGGATTGATTGGTTATTTCATCATATCTGGGAGGATATTTTACATGTAAATATGTGTATTAAGAAAAAATACACAAGTTTGCCAATTCAAAGTCACATTGATGGGAGATAACAGAATAATATGTAGATCATTAAGCATATGAGTTGCCCATTCCTTTCAATGCAAATATTTCTATAAGTGAAGGTCAATCAGTTCATTTGTTTTCTATTACTGATAAAAAACAACAACAAGCATTGTGCTGCAAGTTGGTTTGCTTTGTTTTAATAACATGAGAAGTGTTACATTGTCTTTAATGATTTCTTTCCAGATGTGCCACAGAAACTTTCCATTAACGTATCATTGACTTTTGTTGGTAGAGTGTAACTAGACACTTTACATCAACATTAATGTTATGTATGGAACCCCACCTCTTACCCCTGGCAATCACATGGCAATGTCGGCTGAGGTAGGGTATAGAAATCCACAGATGTCTTCACAGAATACTGGGCCAGGAGCCTCATCACAAGCTGGTCCATCTCAGGGGCCCTCCTACCTCATGTCCCACCTACAAGCACCTGTCCACCCTATACTACAGCAGATTGATGTCATAAACAACCTATATGGTCAGACCTTGCCCAGCACTGTACAAAAAAGTGTACCAATATCTGGGCAACAACCAGACCAAGAAGAAATCAAAGATGATGGTGTACAGGAAAGTGTTAGGTTGGTATCAGACTTCTTGAATAGATCAGTGTAAATATGTGTCACACTGGTCATTCTTGGCTTGAAGATGACGCCGTAGTCATCAAAATATAACACCAAATTTTCTTACTGATAAAATCTTCTACTCTGTTTCATTGTATTTATAGATTTCACACGCTGTAAAACTGCTTGATTATGTGCTCCCAATATGTCATTCATTCGTTAAAAATGCCTTGTAACAAATGAACATTTTACAAACTAGTCAATAAGTATTAATGTCTACCTGAAAAGTGTTCAGAATGTATGAGTTTTTAATATTTCAAACTATATTTGGGGAGTCCCTAGAACCCTACCAGAAGGAGCGGGCTGCAGCCTCTTCGCACACCTATTCCAATTTATCCCCTTCGTAACGTGGCTGCTGCCTGTAACAGTAGAAAATAATTTTTCATAGGAAGTTGCATTAAATTCTTATAATTGTGTGGTGTAATTGATCTTTTTGAACATCATTCACTATCAGTTAATCATGCTCAAGATATTTATTTGTGCCATGGTGAGTGAGTTGTTGTCAATTCTGAATTGTGTTTATTAGGTCACCTGAGATGAAGTCTCAAGTGACCTATTACGATCATCTTTTGTCTCCGGTATCATAAACAATTAATATTTTGACTTCTTTTCAATAACCAAATACAAGATCTTGATATTGGGCCAGTTGCATACTAGGATGAAGAGCTATCAGGTTTTTTTAAATGAATAATCATGACTTTCATTCAAGGTCACAGGGGTCAAATATGCTAAACTACAACAAAAGACAGTGTTATCAGTTCATTTTAATTGCAAATTGAGACTTCAAGCTTAACAACAAATAAAATCTTTCTAAGTATGCCTATATCAGTTTTGTTCTGTCTGCCCTAATGCTGGGACTGATGGACAGCATCTAAAAGTGTTCAAAGACATGGAAAAAACATGGTAAATAAAAGATTGATGGAAGAAGTTTTACCAATAATGAATGTGAACCCATTAGTCCTTGTATCTTCGATTCACTGTGAAAATAAGATTTTAAAATTCTTTTATGAAGTTACAATTTGTTGCATTGTAGTGCAGAGGTCTTTTCCGTGTACAAGTATAGAGAAATTATTCCTGGCTGTCAACCCCATCCAGGGGATATTGTAGAGGCGGGTCCTCTCGCTGTAAGTATACACAATTTTTATGTCTGATTTGAAGGGTTAGTATTGTACATGTAAGTCTGTTTTAAAGTGAATTGCTGTGTAATTCAGTGACCATATTTACATGTAAATAAGATAGGTCTGTTTTAAAGTGAATGGTTGTGTAATTCAGTGACCATATTTACATGTAAACAAGATAGGTCTGTTTTAAAGTGAATGGCTGTGTAATTCAGTGACCATATTTACATGTAAACAAGATAGGTCTGTTTTATGTAAATGGTTGTATCATTTTAGTTACTGTACTTGTGATATAATTCAGTAACATATTTGTAAGATAAGTCAGTTTGAAGTAAATGTTTGTATAATTCTAGTCACTGTTACCACCTGAACCAGTGTATCCCCTCGCAGACAGTCTGCCTAGAGAGATGATCACTACTTGTAAACTTAGTAGTCTTCAGCTTGAAGGAATCCTGTATGCCGTAAGTAGTGTATCCCTATGATCAAATATAATTGACAATTGACTGGTTACAAAACTGATTTCAATTAATCATGACATTTCAAAATTCATCAATCAGTTGAAGTTACTACATAAGTAATGCTGATCAGCATTAAAAGGCCCATGAAATCTTTTTAGTGCAATCATATGGTAATGAATTTTAACCCCTTTGAAAGTGGCTGGGAAATTATACATACCAGACACCAGTAATACATGACACTTAGCCTTTTTTTTAATTATAATCAATGGTGATCAACAAAAAACAAGTATGAAATAAGATTTACCTCACCATTATTTCCTCTATCTCGTAGAAGGTAGTTTATAACAACGATCAAGATCTCAGTTATTACGGGTGTAACTTAAAATGTGGTCTGTATACAGTGCCAAAGACACCAAACTTTGTTACCAAATGGTCAGCGAGCTGGATTCTTTATCGGTGACGCAGCTGGTGTTGGTAAAGGCCGACAGGTAAGTTGATGATAACGAGAAAGAAATCCGAACATTTTTACCAAAATGGTAATTTAAACTCAAGATAAATGAACAAGAGCAAATTATGAAAGATGTACAGATATCCTTGATATAGCAGCACGAGGATAAGACCAGGTGTTCTGTTAGATAGGTAAATGATATACAAAGGTGGACACTAAGGTAATGAATTGTGATTGAAAAGGAGCATAATTATAAACTATCCTAAAAAACATTTTAAAATCAGATGTTGTGTTGTTTTTACCACAGATTGCAGGCATAATCCTGGACAACTACGCCAGAAAAAGGACCAAGCATATCTGGTTTACTATTTCATCTGATCTCATTGTCGACTCTAGGAGGTAATCCACACAAACCTTATTCAACCATAACTTCATATGTGATCATCCATATTATTCTCATTCAACCATAACCTCGTAAGTGATAATCCACATGATTCTCATTCAACCATAACCTCATATGTGATGATTTAAACTATTGCAATCCTTTTTATGGTATGCATGTCCATGATTTTATCCTTTTATCATATTCCCAGGGACTTGACTGATATCGGATGTTATGTGAAGGTCATAGATGGTTGTCAGGAACTTGATCGAGAAACAAGGTAACACAACATGTATATCATTATTTGATGTAGAAATGGTGATTATGGATTTTGTCTGATTTTTTTTTTTATATATATATATATAAAGATGAGGTGGAAATCCCTACAGCAGGTCCTGTTCACATGTAAAATTTACTATGTATCAAATTATGGATGGTCTTTATCTCTTTGCCATATGTATATCAAAAGTTTGTAATAAGAATTCTGTCTATCACATAGCTGGCTTGTTGTGTCAAACTGACTTGTCAAAAATATTATAAGACACATAGTTTATTTTGAAATCATAAACAAACCACTTCTTGACATATGATTGACTTGGTGGTGAAAAACATACCCTCCACAACAAAATAAATCCATCTTATAGAGAAATTGGTTTGAAAGTTTTCTCAGATTTTTCCGTTTAAATGATTAATTTTGTGTCAATGTAATAAGGAATTTAATAAGCTTGTTGAATAATTTGATAATGTAATTTGTTCAGTTTCATGACTGAATCAAATTATTGAACCTGGTTAATAAAGTCCATATAACATTCATGTAAGATCCCTTATATATAGCGATCATTATTACCGTCTTTCCATGATTCTTTGTAGAATGGTATACACATTACAGAGAAATATATATGGCCTGGATACCAACCTGTTATCATTACACATACCCGGTACTAGGAAAAAGTGTTACAGCCACTCTGGTTTGAATTTAAATTTCCTGTGTTTCTGCTGGATATTTGAGAAATTCTTTTCAAATAACAAAATGAGATGATTCTTTCGTAAGTTGTGTATGTTATCTATCTCGTGTTGTGACGATAATAATATGAAAGCCTCCCATTTTTTCAGAGTTCTAGGTTTGCCTGCTGACTTTAAAGAAGGAGTTGTGTTTAGTACCTACGCAACACTTGTATCTTCTGTCCATAGAGGAAGTAAGTATCATAAAATCATGGAAATGCTTGTAAATTAGAACCAAAATTGGAATTTTTTTAAAATTCAAAATTGTTTATTTTTGTAAATCAAAATGGAAATATGCATTGTTTGTACATATGTTTGCCAGAACCAAAATTATGAAAAAGCATTCATAAGTCAGAATAAATCTTATTATAATTGAAATAATTTAATTCCAATGAAAAATTTTAAGATAAATGTCACAATAAATTGTTCCCTCGCTCCACATCTTGACTAAACATGGATACCAATTTTACAATTGATGGTTCAGAATACTGGGCGTCTTCATTAACCGAAATGGTGGTGTTTCTGTCCCAGGTGCAGTCAGTGGCAGCAAGACAAGCAGACTTCAACAGCTGGTTGACTGGTGTGGGGGACCACAGTTCCAGGGATGTCTCATATTTGATGAATGTCACAAGGCGAAGAACTTTGTCCCAGTAAGTCTGGTTGGTTTTCAGGAAATAAGGTTGATGAATAAAAACTTTCGAATGAAACCCTGTACTAAAAATGTTACATTTTTTCAAATGTCAGACACTAACACCTTTGTATGAGAAACTCTGAGGCACAAATGTAGTTAACTGTAGTTCCTTCAACCACAGATTTGGTTTCTGTCTAGTGCTGTATTTTAAAGCAAATTTCTCATGAATAATATTTGAGTTTTATTGTAGGGCAAGGAGCAAGCAAGCACTAAGGTAGCGATGGCGGTTATGTCTATACAGAGGTGAGCAAATCCTTACCAGATATAAATTAATGGTGAATTATTTGTGCTAGCACACAGTACTACATTTCCATACACAAGTTATACCTCCTCAACAATCACATACCTGTGATTTTAAAGAACTTTTCAGGAAACGCTGAATCCCATCTCAATTTCCAAGTTTTTAAGATGATAGAAATTGCTGATTTTTATCTGTGTTTGGAGTTAATTGCTCTCTCTACATTTGTTCAATATTTGAAGGATTTCTCCTGAATTTATGTCCATGAAGCAGTCATGATCTACTGATTTAAACAAAGACTTTTTAATGTTAAAAATATGCTGGGAACAAGTATTAAATATGAGCTGACGGGGTGGGAAGTTAGCCTTATTGTCTAAAAATTGTTCCATTTTTCCTAAATTCATGTCTGTAAAAAAAATCAGAGTCCTTAGAAAACACTTATTGCAAAATGTTGATTTGCTTTAGAATGAAATTAGGAATTACTCCATTTTATTTTACAGGATGTTGCCGAAGGCTCGTGTTGTTTACTGTAGTGCTACTGGGGTCACAGATGTCAAAAACATGGTAATACTTTAGTTAGAAATACTGAATTTACTAGGTTTTCTTCTGGTGGATTTTGAATTTTCCTTGAATCTGTCTTTTGATGACCACTAAGACTTTACTAGTTCTAAATATTTAATTCACTTTTCAATGTTGTCAAAAATAACAGGATTTCAAGCAGTTGATGTTGGGTGTTCTTGTTTCAGATTTGTTTACAGCCAAAAATGTTTTATCTATATAATTGGGATTCCCGTAAACACACTATCTTAAGTGTGCAATTTATTTCAAATTTTTTGCAAGCTTAAGAAATTTGAGAAACTAAGTGCTGTTGAAATTCAAGCCAAGAATGAAAAACAAAATAGAAAAATATACAAGTGTGGTCTGTTTAACATAAATTAATCACCTTGAACTTGTTATACAGAAATGGGTTTGTAGCCAGCAATGAAAGTTAGATAACAATATCTTATACAAAATTAACTCCAATTTTACAGGCATTTATGGAAAGATTGGGTTTGTGGGGAGAGGGGGCACCTTTCCGATCATTTGAGCAGTTTTTGGACCTGGTACAGAAGAAAGGACTAGGTATGGCTGAGATACTGGCTATGGAAATGAAGACGTCAGGGATGTATATCTCCCGTGGTCTCAGCTACAAACAGGCAGAGGTAACCTGAACAGTCGTAGCTGGATAATGGAATCAATAACTTCAGTATTAAGGACTAAGGGGAACAATCATATTAATTTTACAGTGATTTGAGTAAAAATTGGAACAATTTATTTTCGAGAAGATGGAACGTTAACTTCTCATTTATGCATTTAATGATTTACAGAAAGTCTGCCTCAGTGTACACACACAGAGAGAAGGAATCTTCAAATCAGCCCAAAATCAGTTCAAAAATGGACAGTTTGCAAGAACTTCAATTTTTCAATTATACTTTTTATGTTATTGATTTTTTTATATGTTAGTGGTTTGGACATGTAAGATCTACTGATTCCTTTTTTTACTTTTTCACCAAGAAATAGATATAAAGAAGTAAGACTGTTTTATGAAAAGGATAATACGTAGATAAGTACATGTTGGCTTTTATTTGTTTGTCATGCAGTTCATGACGATAGAGGCTGCATTGACAAAGGAACAGAGAAAGACCTATGACACAGCAGCCCATGTTTGGTAAGTGTATTTAAGTGGTATATCATTGGATTTTTGTTTTGTTTAACACCATTTTCAGTCTGATGACCTGTCTGTTGATATCTTTGTTGGATCCATGGAGATTTGTTTCATTACATTAGCTTATCTCCCGAAAGTCAACATCATGGATAAAAATCAGATGCTGTAGCACCAGACGCTTTAATATTGGAATTCCAAAATTCTGATTTTTGAGGACTTTTTTTTCCACTTTTTTTAAACTTGTTATAAAATCATGAAAAAAAATCTTACGAAATAAAATTAAAAGAGAAAACCTTATCTCATTTCATCACTACTGTGTAATTTGAACCATTGGGAATAAATCACATTAACGACAGGATTTTATAACAAACTTCTTGCACAACTTTAGTAAAAATTTGCCAAGATTATAAACCTCCAACGTCAGTGATGATGTTAATTAACAATATCTTTTTGTCTCCAACCTCCAACGTCAGTGATGATGTTAATTAACAATATTCTTTTTGTCTCCAACCTCCAATGTCACTGATGATGTTAATTAACAATATCTTTTTGTCTCCAACCTCCAGTGTCAGTGATGATGTTAATTAACAATATTCTTTTTGTCTCCAACCTCCAACGTCACTGATGATGTTAATTAACAATATCTTTTTGTCTCCAACCTACAATGTCAGTGATGATGTTAATTAACAATATTCTTTTTGTCTCCAACCTCCAACGTCACTGATGATGTTAATTAACAATATCTTTTTGTCTCCAACCTCCAGTGTCAGTGATGATGTTAATTAACAATATCTTTTTGTCTCCAACCTACAATGTCAGTGATGATGTTAATTAACAATATTCTTTTTGTCTCCAACCTCAAACGTCAGTGATGTTGTTTACTAACAATATTCTTTTTCTGTTGTCTCTATTGTCTCTGTTTTTGTGTTACTGTAAACACGCTTATTTTGGTGCTAACAAACTTTAGTGCATAATCACTTTTTTGGCATAATAGAAAAATGATTAATTTGCACATCAACAAAAATTACTATTTAAGCAGCATAAAGAAACTGCAATTTGTACTATCATGATTTAGCACAATAGCTTCAGTGTAAATAGTTCTTGATTTCCTGTTCTTTATATGATACGGCTTAAATATCTACAGCTACAGAAATAATTTGTTAGTGGTTGTTTGAAATTGATTTATAATTTGATAGGTTGCTCGATTTTATTCTGACCAGTTTCAGAAAAGATATTGTCTTCATGTCAGGCTAAATAGAGAAATTATCTGGTAGATCTCTACTCATTGTTTCAAAGATTTGACCTAGAAATATTCTTTATTTTACACCCAGGAATGAGTTACGCAAGGCACTTGAGAGCGCAATGTCCAGAACAGGCTTTTCAGGTGGCCGAATGTGGGCGCAGTTCTGGGCATCTCATCAAAGATTCTTTAAACAACTCTGGTAAGATTCAGCATTGACTTTGTGACTTTGAATACAGAAGAAATGAAAGCATGTTTGTACAGAAGTTTCATTAGATTGACATGGTTTATGAATAGGTAATGCATGATGTGTTTGTCAGCTCACTAGGTACAGAAAGGTTTGGACACTTGATGTCAATTTCAGAATTATGCTTGGATCCTATCGAGCACTTAAAATGTTTGCTTATTTTGTCCTCTAATAATCAGACTGCGAACATGTCAATATTTCCAGCATGGGTATGAAGGTACCAACTGTGATAAAGGAAGCTAAACAAGCACTTGATACTGGCTACTGTGTAGTGATTGGTCTACAAACAACTGGTGAGGCAAGTAAAACAACAACCTTGATGGGAACGACATTCAAAAATCCATTTCTCACCAATTTTAATTAAATTTTTTCTGACTGATATCTAATGAAAGATCTACAGGAATTTACCAGGATTAATTAACAGAATCATGTGAAAGATCAACTTTTGTTTAAACTTGTAATTTAACCTCAGTAAATAGTTTCTTGTTATTTATCTCTGTAGTTTTTGTCTGATGTAGATAATTTAATTGCAGGCCTCGTTAGAAGCAGAGATAGGAAAGAATAAAGGGGAGATTACTGGATTTGTTTCCTTGTGTCGAGAGATTTTGTTACGATTCATCACACAATATTTTCCTACCATGATTGAGAGTCAGGTGAGATGTCACAGAAACAGAGTTGTAAGGATGCATATGATATTAGAACACTTACGGCAAACAGAGCAAGATTTCATGATAAAATCATATTAATTACTGATAAGTTTTACCATAATGATTACTATTTTATGAGAAAATTTACTGTTCCTTAGTTGAAATGGGTTGCCATGAGTTGTTCATTACATCAAGAGAAGTTCTTGTAGCTTATTGCAATGGTCTATTTTCAGCCATTTATACTCAGTGTGTATATATATATATATATATATATATAATACATTCTTTCTGTAAAATACACATATGTCAAGAAACTTTCCAAATAACACTGGATGGCTTGCCTATAAAATTAAAAGAAAAAAGTTTCAGTTTTGTCTGGAAGGTTTCTTGAAATTTGTACATTATACAAAAAGAATGTATAAGTGTATCACAATATATAAAAATAGAATAAGTATTATTCTCTTAAGATAATAGTAGTTTTCAGGAACACTGGGATTGTACAGATCTGCTGGAAATTTAAGACATTTTAGGGAGAACAAAATAAGTGTTATTCTCTTAAGATCTCCTGGAAATTTAAGACATTTTAGGGAGAACAAAATAAGTGTTATTCTCTTAAGATAATAGTAGTTTTCAGGAAATTTGTAAGACAAATTTAAGACATTTTAGGGAGAACAAAATAAGTGTTATTCTCTTAAGATAATAGTAGTTTTCAGGAACACTGGGATTGTATAGATCTCCTGGAAATTTAAGACATTTTAGGGAGAACAAAATAAGTGTTATTCTCTTAAGATAATAGTAGTTTTCAGGAACACTGGGATTGTATAGATCTCCTGGAAATTTAAGACATTTTAGGGAGACCAAAATAAGTGTTATTCTCTTAAGATAATAGTAGTTTTCAGGAACATTGGGATTGTACAAGTTTCATGGAAATTTAAGACATTTTAGGGAGAAATACCACAATGATGACACATATGAATAAATGTAGAAAAAAAATAAGTGTTATTCTCTTAAGGAGTAGTTTTCAGGAACACTGATTACAACACATTGGTGTTATTCTCTTAAGGTGTCCACTGGGATTGTAGAAATTTAAGACATTTTAGGGAGAACAAAATAAGTGTTATTCTCTTCAGAAAATGGTAGTTTTCATGAAAATTGGGATTGTACAAGTTTCATGGAAATTTATGACATTTTACAGAGAAATACCACAATGACGATGCATATGAATTAATGTAGGAAAATAGGAAGTTGAATGATTACAACACATTGGTGTTATTGGTGTCCAGTGTCAGTACTATTATAATGACATCTCTTTACATAGAATGAGGAGGATCGCGTAGCAGACAGTTGGTGTATTAAAGCCAAGGAGATGCTTATAGGCTTTGCCCGCAAAATCTCACTACCTAACAGGTAAGTCAGTTTTAGGAATCAAGTGTTGTTGGAAAGTTGTCTTCTAGTTTTTGAAATTCAATTTCTCTCAATTTTTCAGTTGATTGAAAATTTTTCCTGTGATATTTTATTTTGATGGCAAAGAAACCATTTAATATCCATGTTTTATACATCATTTTAGTAAAGGTAATTTTCTCTAGCATGAAAAATTGAAAATATTTCCAAGTATTAAGATCATGGGTTATTGTATAAAGGATCTGGACCTTGTTGATCTCTTAAAGTGATAGAGAGAGGACTCTTTAGAGTTGACATAAAAGTACTTTTACATCTAGAATTGATAGATGAATACATTTTTGCTGCAGTCCATTAGATGAGATGATCGATCAGTTTGGTGGCACAGAAGCTGTGGCCGAGATGACAGGAAGGCGTGGCAGGATTGTCCGCAAGTCTGTCAAAGACCGGCCTCATTACGAACTAAGAACCCAGGACATTGATAACTATGGAGGAATTGAGAGTCTAAACGTAATGGAGGTGAGGTGAAAATTTTTTGAACTCATCAAAAAACAAACAAACCAACAGCAAAATACGATAATGATAACTCAGAAAAATCTTACATCTCTTTTTTTTTTCAGAGGAATATGTTCATGGCAGGGAAGAAATTAGTCGCCATCATTTCAGATGCAGCAAGCACAGGTAAGAAATACATGCTGTGAATTGATTGTGAAGAAATAGGACTTATCAGAGCACTACCTGTAGATCTGGGAATTATTTTTGTTTTTTCCATGTAAACATGATTGTTATCAAAAGTGATCTGCTAAATGCTTCAAAAGTTTTTCAGATCTCCACATTTTTACTATCTCTTGTATTTTTAATTTTGCCTTGCTTGGTGTTACCTCTTTCAGGCACCTTCATGAGTGATGAAGGCCCATTCAAATTTTGTCTAAGGTGCATATCCGTTCCTGAAACAGTTCTTGTTATTACTGTTGGAACTGAATTGTACCTTTTTAATTTTTAGACAGATCAAAAATCTTGTTGTTCCTGTTGGTACTGAGTTGTGCCTGCCCAATTTTAGACAGATCAAAGGTCTTGTTGTTACTGTTGGTACCAAGTTGTGCCTGCCCAATTTTAGGCAGATCAAAAGTCTTGTTGTTGCTGTTGGTACCGAGTTGTGCCTGCCCAATTTTAGGCAGATCAAAAGTCTTGTTGTTGCTGTTGGTACCGAGTTGTGCCTGCCCAATTTTAGGCAGATCAAAAATACTAAAAATGGGTAATCATCTTGGATTTGATAGTTACAGCTTAAAGTTCCTTCAGAAGAACTGGATGACCTTATCTTAAACATCTGTTAAGGTTCCCCTTGATCCCAACTTGTACCTGTCCATTTTTTACAGTGGCCAGGAGTAGAATGAATTGACAGGTGGCCGTCCTGGGTTTTGAATTCCAGAATGTCATGGTTACCGTTTGTCCTATTCTGTCAGTAGGTTTTCCTTGTGATCAATGTTATCATTTATTCTTCTGTTACTGTTCTTATGACCATGAAAGATCAAAGAGAGAAAGTAATGTATAGGTGGTCAGAGGGTAACATGTTCACCTTTAACCTTGGTGTCTGGGGTAAGACAACCCGTAATGGATGTGAAATGGAGTCACTTGTCCAATCACATGGGATTTCCCTGGTTACTCTGCTCTCCTCCTTAAAGTTTAAAGTGTGTTTTGCAATTGTTGTAAAATAAATAAGGTATATATAGATAAAGATAAGAGTAGATATTATGATGGGAACAAAAATCCCACTGGTATATCTGTTTTAATCATTATCTTGAGTGTTCATCCAAGATATTGGTAATGTCTGTTTATAAAGAAAGAAAGATTTCACAAGGGGAACACTGATATTTGTTACTCTCTGTCTGTTGTTCAGGTTTAAACAAGCGCTGAGGACCTGTTATCAATTATATAATGTGACTAGATGGATTGTCATGTCATGGTACAAAGGTTATGATATTTTTCTGTTACAACACTTAGTCCCATAATCTGTATATGGAGTGTGTTGTTCTGTAGATGTAATCTGTATATGGAGTGTGTTGTTCTGTAGATGTAATCTGTATATGGAGTGTGTTGTTCTGTAGATGTAATCTGTATATGGAGTGTGTTGTTCTGTAGATGTAATCTGTATATGGAGTGTGTTGTTCTGTAGATGTAATCTGTATATGGAGTGTGTTGTTCTGTAGATGTAATCTGTACATGGAGTGTGTTGTTCTGTAGATGTAATCTGTATATGGAGTGTGTTGTTCTGTAGATGTAATCTGTATATGGAGTGTGTTGTTCTGTAGATGTAATCTGTATATGGAGTGTGTTGTTCTGTAGATGTAATCTGTATATGGAGTGTGTTGTTCTGTAGATGTAATCTGTATATGGAGTGTGTTGTTCTGTAGATGTAATCTGTAAATGGAGTGTGTTGTTCTGTAGATGTAATCTGTATATGGAGTGTGTTGTTCTGTTGATGTTAACCTCAAACAATATGATACAGACTATTTATTCAGGAAAAATTACTAGTTGTTATATAAGAATTTCTAATCTATATATACTTAACCTACCTGAAGAAAATGATTTTTCATATGAATTTCTTCTGGTTTTGTACTAACTTACAACTTGTACAGTGAAATGATTACTAGTAATATTCTATGGCTTTCTTTTGATTCTTTGTAGGAATATCTCTCCATGCTGACACCAGAGCAGGGAACCAGAGACGGAGAGTTCACATAACGGTGGAACTTCCCTGGAGTGCTGACAAGGCTGTACAACAGTTAGGCCGATCTCATAGGTCCAACCAGTCAAGGTGAGTCTAGATCTCACAGGTCCAACCAGTCAAGGTGAGTACAGATCTCATAGGTCCAACCAGTCAAGGTGAGTCTAGATCTCACAGGTCCAACCAGTTAAGGTGAGTACTGATCTCACAGGTCCAACCAGTCATGGTCAGTACAGATCTCACAGATCCAACCAGTCATGGTCAGTACAGATCTCACAGGTCCAACCAGTCATGGAGAGTCTAGATCTCACAGGTCCAACCAGTCAAGGTGAGTCTAGATCTCACAGGTCCAACCAGTCATGGTCAGTACAGATCTCACAGGTCCAACCAGTCATGGTCAGTACAGATCTCACAGGTCCAACCAGTCAAGGTGAGTCTAGATTTCACAGGTCCAACCAGTCATGGTCAGTACAGATCTCACAGGTCCAACCAGTCATGGTCAGTACAGATCTCTCAGGTCCAACCAGTCATGGTCAGTACAGATCTCACAGGTCCAACCAGTCATGGTCAGTACAGATCTCACAGGTCCAATCAGTCATGGTCAGTACAGATCTCACAGGTCAAACCAGTCAAGGTGAGTCTAGATCTCACAGGTCCAACCAGTCATGGTCAGTACAGATCTCACAGGTCCAACCAGTCATGGTCAGTACATATCTCACAGGTCCAACCAGTCAAGGTGAGTCTAGATCTCACAGGTCCAACCAGTCAAGGTGAGTCTAGATCTCACAGGTCCAACCAGTCAAGGTGAGTCTAGATCTCACAGGTCCAACCAGTCAAGGTGAGTCTAGATCTCACAGGTCCAACCAGTCATGGTCAGTACAGATCTCACAGGTCCAACCAGTCATGGTCAGTACAGATCTCACAGGTCCAACCAGTCATGGTGAGTCTAGATCTCACAGGTCCAACCAGTCATGGTCAGTACAGATCTCACAGGTCCAACCAGTCATGGTCAGTACAGATCTCTCAGGTCCAACCAGTCATGGTCAGTACAGATCTCACAGGTCCAACCAGTCATGGTCAGTACAGATCTCACAGGTCCAATCAGTCATGGTCAGTACAGATCTCACAGGTCAAACCAGTCAAGGTGAGTCTAGATCTCACAGGTCCAACCAGTCATGGTCAGTACAGATCTCACAGGTCCAACCAGTCATGGTCAGTACAGATCTCACAGGTCCAACCAGTCAAGGTGAGTCTAGATCTCACAGGTCCAACCAGTCAAGGTGAGTCTAGATCTCACAGGTCCAACCAGTCAAGGTGAGTCTAGATCTCACAGGTCCAACCAGTCAAGGTGAGTCTAGATCTCACAGGTCCAACCAGTCATGGTCAGTACAGATCTCACAGGTCAAATCAGTCAAGGGTGAGTCTAGATCTCACAGGTCCAACCAGTCATGGTCAGTACAGATCTCACAGGTCCAACCAGTCAAGGTGAGTCTAGATCTCACAGGTCCAACCAGTCAAGGTGAGTCTAGATCTCGATGTTTTGACATGACTTTATTATTTTCTTCATTGTGCTGGAAACCTTGAGAATGGTTGCAGGAGTCTAGAAGGATTGTCTGTGTATTTTGTTTTATGATTTAGAACTATGAATAAATTTATTTAGAATAAACATTACCTGTGATAATGTTTACTTTTTTACTCTGCTGTTTTCACGTAGTATAAACTTCATACATGATTATCAGCTGAAGTGTATTTTTTGCTTGACCTTGGGTAACCTTTGTTGACAGTGGTCCACTGTATAAACTGCTTACCACAGACTTAGGAGGAGAAAGGCGATTTGCTGCTGCTGTGGCTCGGAGACTTCAGTCCATGGGTATGTTCCATACATAGTAAACTACCTAAGGTCGGACTGGTTCACTTAACTAGATATAATGTTTGCCTATAAGTAGGTCTATTGTTGGTGCATAGATATGGTTAGGTAAGATAACATTATTCTTCTTGCATGGAATACTTTGATATATGCAGGTTTTCACATTAAGAAATCAGGCAATTTACGTTCCAAGAGTCAAGGTTAGATAATAAGGTAAAGTGTCTTTGTCACTTATCAGGTGCATTGACCAAAGGAGATCGACGAGCAGCGACTGGAGCTAACCTTGATGAGTTCAACTTTGACACACCTTATGGCCGCAATGCTCTCCGCATGATGTACCACAATATCTGCCATGTGAGTCCTTGTTAAGTTATAATCAGGTCATCTGACCGTAATGGTTTAAGCAACTTCTTCTCAATAACCAAAAGTCCCGTAGTGCTGATATTGGGGCCTGTAGCATACTAGTATGAAGGGCTACCAAGTTTGTTAAAATGAATTACCTTGACCCACTTTCAAGGTGTACATATAAAGAATGTGATTTCAAGTTTCCAAAAAATATCTTTATGAACCAACCAATGTCTTCTATGTAAGCTGTAGTGTAGTTGAACAATTTATTTCAGGCCTATTTGGCCTCTATATATAGGCCTTTATAATCAAATGAACCTTAAGGCCTGTGGGCCTCTTGTTATACTAGTACTGATTACTGATGAAGTTTGGCTCTCTGTACTTGTTGTACAAGTTTGTGTAACCAGCTTAACAGTGACAATGGTGGGTTAATACAGTTAAAGATATAGTGGGATATAAAAATTATCTCAAGACATCAAGGTTCTCAAAAATTCTAGGTAGAGGTTATACCCCTCAGTGCTAAATCCTATATAAATATATTTAAAACATGTAAAACAGTATAGATAAAGAAACTCTATTTTGTGTGCTGGCAATTTTGTAACTTCTGAAAATAAAGCTGTTTGTGTATTAAATAAACACGATGTATTACAACTTCGTGTAAAAATTGTCTTTCTTCCTTTGTAGAGGACTCTGGTGCCAGGTTTGAATCTACCAGATATATCCAAAGTTCACAAAACATTCGAGGAGTTCAATATGTCAATGCAGGTAATGATTCAATATTGTATCAAATTTGATTGCAAATATTTCTTTTGATTTGATAAATCAATCGGTATCATTACAGCTAACAATGCATATTTGGTGACCTTTGACCTCTTTAATCTCTGCCTCAATAGTGTTTATTTCTCATGAAACTCTACTTTATCAATATAATTAAGTAGTCCCTGACACAAATTTTCAGGACTTACAAATTCTTATTATTCTTTCTTTTCCTTCTTTTTGTCTGATTTTAATCAAATTTGGTTTGTAGATGTTGTATAACATATGAAAGACATTGCTGATGTCTTTTTTCTGACTTGAAAAAATATTCAGCAAGGGGTTTAGTTGAGAGATACATTTTTATGGTTGTATGTTAGGATTCCCTGCTAGTGTCATATTTATTCTTTGAATTTTTTTAAATGTGTCAAGGTTCTGAAGAACTTTCTTGCTTATGTTGAAATACTTTTAATAAGCATCAGTCATGAATAAAGGAGTAGTTTAGGGGACTTATGAAAGGAGTTTCAATTAATACTTAATGACATTTGGTCTCTTTATTCTCCGTCACAGGAGTGTTTGGTTCTCATGGGCCTGATTGAGATAGAATCAGTGAGAATCGGTGCGCCTCCCAAGGACAAAGACATGGGCGATGTCTCAAAGTTTCTGAACAGGATACTGGGACTGAGCGTCTCTAAGCAAAACATGGTAAGGGGACATAAATCTCATGATTTATCAAGTAAAATGTATATTTTGTATTCTGTATTCTGTAATACTGTCATAAGCATGTTGCGATTGTAAATATCAACACACCATAAAGATTCAAAACTCTGTAAAGGGTTCCTAAAAATTCTTTGATGGCCATAGGGTTTTTATACCGAGTTAAATATTTATTTCACATATTTCAAAATATTTATATTAGAATATTTCAAGATGATTGCTTTTTCTGAAATAACATATAGATTGTCATGTAAGCATCTTATTGATAAGGTACTCCAAACTGTAAGTAAGAAGAGGTTACATTTATGTTTCAGATTTGTCCTCAAATTCACGTACCTGGTGAGATAATTTATATGCAATCAGCGCAAAATATATGTTGCTAAGAAGTGCATTTTGTTTTGTTCTTTATCAGGTGTTCACCTATTTTATTGAGTGTATGAAGTTGATGGTACAAAATGCCAAGATGGAGGGCAGGTATGTATTGACCATTACCTCTTGAGTGAAAACTCTCCAATTATATATTTACCTCTAGACACCGGTTTATGTTTAAGTAAAATTAGAAGATATTTAGATCTTCTTGAGAATCTTGTGACTATTCCAGTAAATTATCTACCCCACTCCAGGACTCTAGGTTTTGTTTAGGGCTATTCCAGTAAATTATCTACACCTCTCCAGGACTCTAGGTTTTGTTTAGGGCTATTCCAGTAAATTATCTACACCTCTCCAGGACTCTAGGTTTTGTTTAGGGCTATTCCAGTAAATTATCTACACCTCTCCAGGACTCTAGGTTTTGTTTAGGGCTATTCCAGTAAATTATCTACACCTCTCCAGGACTCTAGGTTTTGTTTAGGGCTATTCCAGTAAATTATCTACACCTCTCCAGGACTCTAGGTTTTGTTTAGGGCTATTCCAGTAAATTATCTACACCTCTCCAGGACTCTAGGTTTTGTTTAGGGCTATTCCAGTAAATTATCTACACCTCTCCAGGACTCTAGGTTTTGTTTAGGGCTATTCCAGTAAATTAGCAATCCCAACCCAAGACTCTACATGGTTTTTGAGGCTGTTACATAAAATACATTTATCCCATCCCATCACTCCAGGTTTTGTTAAGGATTATACCAGTCAATCATCTATCCCAGCCCAGGACTCTTGGTTGTGTTAAGAGCTGTTCCAATAAGTTATATATGCCACCCCAGAACTCTAGGTCTTATGTAGGGGTATCCACCCATTGAATTTAAATGATATTTTGCTTAGAAGTGATTTGCTGGAATTGAATCTTGGAGCTATTTCAGAGTCTTGTAATTAGTGAATGTGTTACTAGAATAGCCTGTACAGAATTACCACATCAAATGTAAGTAAATTAAATTGTTACTATTGCAGTAAGAGGTGTTATATATCCAGTAATAAAATCCACCAACGTCTACGACAGTTTTATTAGAATTGTTTGCATATTCTGTATCCTGGTCCTGTATCAAACCCTCTTCCTCCTCCAGTCTCAGATTATGTATTAGCATCCTAGGCTAATATACATTTTGACCTTTGACCTTCATCAAAGAAAAGGTTTGTCCAGGTCTATCTCCTTCACTACTATTCAAGTACAAATGTCTAGTCTCACTGATTACACCCCAAGTACAAATGTCTAGTCTCACTGATTACACCCCAAGTACAAATGTCTGGTCTCACTGATTACACCCCCAGTACAAATGTCTGGTCTCACTGATTACACCCCCACTACAAATGTCTGGTCTCACTGATTACACCCAAAGCACAAATGTCTGGTCTCACTGATTACACCCCCAGTACAAATGTCTGGTCTCACTGATTACACCCCAAGTACAAATGTCTGGTCTCACTGATCACACCCCAAGTACAAATGTCTGGTCTCACTGATTACACCCAAAATACAAATGTCTGGTCTCACTGATTACACCCCAAGTACAAATGTCTGGTCTCACTGATTACACCCCAAGTACAAATGTCTGGTCTCACTGATTACACCCCCAGTACAAATGTCTGGTCTCACTGATTACACCCCCAGTACAAATGTCTGGTCTCACTGATTACACCCCAAGTACAAATGTCTGGTCTCACTGATTACACCCCCAGTACAAATGTCTGGTCTCACTGATTACACCCAAAATACAAATGTCTGGTCTCACTGATTACACCCCAAGTACAAATGTCTGGTCTCACTGATTACACCCCCAGTACAAATGTCTGGTCTCACTGATTACACCCCAAGTACAAATGTCTGGTCTCACTGATTACACCCCCAGTACAAATGTCTGGTCTCACTGATTACACCCAAAGCACAAATGTCTGGTCTCACTGATTACACCCCCAGTACAAATGTCTGGTCTCACTGATTACACCCCCAGTACAAATGTCTGGTCTCACTGATTACACCCCAAGTACAAATGTCTGGTCTCACTGATTACACCCCCAGTACAAATGTCTGGTCTCACTGATTACACCCAAAGCACAAATGTCTGGTCTCACTGATTACACCCCCAGTACAATATGTTTGTCGCTGTAATGACTTTATGAATTGATCAGGTATAACGAGGGAATGCTGGACATCAAAGCCTCATCAGTAGAGATTGTCAACAAACCAAGAGAGCTGTTTAAAAACCTCACTAAGGGACATACAGATACAAAGTAAGTGTTCTACTCACCTGAAATCAGAAGATATTTAATGATATCCTACAGTTTCTAACTCCGGTTTCTTTGGCAGTTCATATTTCTTTTTCTTTGTGATGTGATAGAGATGATAAAACAACTGTGTTATATGGTAGATTAGTGACATTAAAACTGTAACAGTAAATTGGAAAAGGTACTATTTGATATTATATTGGGATTGAATGTTGGGGAAGTTGACAGTACATGCTATCAAGGAACTTTCAGAACTCTGATTCTACTTAGAAGAAACTGACACTGAAGGTAGAGTTATTTCCCTTCCTACATTTAAAAGAAGATGTGTGTATGCTGTAACTTGTCATGTGACCAGGGTCATTTTTGTTGATTGTTTTAATCAAGACCAAGGTTGTTTGCTTTCAATAAAGGTAGACCTACTGGTCTTATTATACTTTATGACAAGCCTAAATTAAGATCTATTATGCCTATATACTAATATCAGCAGATCTCTTCCAATTTATGTTCCATTTAAAATGTTGACGAATAGGTTTTTCCAATTAAAAGAAATTGGGCCCTGCTTCAAATTTGGCTCTCATCAAGATCTTGCTATTTATGGGTTCATGGGTCCTGTTGAAATCTAATATCAAATTAACTATTTGTGGATGCAAGTAGTTTGGATTAAAGAGTGGTTTTGTAGTTTGCCTGTACATTGTGATTGTAATGGATTCTCTAGGAGAACAAACTGGTTAGTTTTACTGTTTATTTTTCTGTCAGACTTCTTGAGCTGAAGGTTGACCGAGGTGTCAGCTGGTCATCAGCATTGACCAGGCTTGACACTCACAAAGGACCTAGAGATGGATTCTATGCCTCAAAAAGAGAAATATTTGGCAGGAAACTCTATATCTTGGCTACACAGAAGGAACATTCCAGTCATCTGTTTAGATATACAAGGTAGGTGGTCATCTCTGGTCCTGTTTGTGTTCTGAGTTAATGGTACTGAATCCTTTGAATTAACAGCCATACTGCATAGTTTTTTTATTTTCCTCAACTTTTTGGCTTAAAAGCACAAACAAGCCCAGCCATGCAAGCAATTAGACTTAAAAGTGACTTTGACAAGGAAATCCAAAGTAATGGCACAATGTATTTTGTGTTTTTGTCAAATTGATATATACATGTATGTATTAACCTTACCTATAATCTGTTACAGACCTAATACAGGACTGTCCCAGGTCATACATGTATGTATTAACCTTACCTATAATCTGTTACAGACCTAATACAGGACTGTCCCAGGTCATATATGTATGTATTAACCTTACCTATAATCTGTTACAGACCTAATACAGGACTGTCCCAGGTCATACATGTATGTATTAACCTTACCTATAATCTGTTACAGACCTAATACAGGACTGTCCCAGGTCATACATGTATGTATTAACCTTACCTATAATCTGTTACAGACCTAATACAGGACTGTCCCAGGTCGACGAAGAAGAAACTGATCTCAATCATCGCTATGTAGCAGTGGATCCCTCTAAAGCAGGTTAGTTCACAGTAAACTGTTTAAAATCTATTAAATGATTTTTATATAGCAATACCTTTCAGAAGTTTGCTATAAGGATATTTTTTTTGTGTCATTTTCCATCCACTTTTTGTCTTGTGATAATGACCTCCTGTTTGATGTTTCAACAAATATTAAAAATATTTATTATCATGACATGACATTGTGCATTATTAACCAGTATTTGGATTGGGGTAGTCATCAAGTTTTAATGAACATATTTCCTTCAGAAGCTAACAACTTCTGTGTTTTGTCTTCACTCATCAGAGCTGCAGCAAGCACTGTACCACTACTTTAATTTCTGGTTTCTAACTACATTTTCCTGCGTGCCTCTGTCTTGTGTGTCACCAATAACCACAACATTTAATGGTTTCTTTGCTGGGTTTCTTGTCAATTTTGAGCTTGGGTCTCCTTGTACATGTAGTATCTGGTTGCAACCTAACTTAACACTATGAGAGAGGCACACTACATATTTTCCATCTAAATGGATCACACTAAAGTGTCTAGCCCAAGGACACACTAGTACAGGATGCTCTGTGACCTGGGCTTATTGAGGAACACCAACTGCCTAGGGAAGGGATCATTGAACCATACACCTTAGATTGTCACCTGGTATTGCAAAGCCAACACTCTACCTGCTGACCTGTCACAGTTCTCAGAGGTGACAATGGAAACCGTAAAATCTGTGAAAAGGTATAAAGAAATAAAAAAAACATTGAGAGAAGTAAATCTTTTATTTTTGTAAACTTCATAAATTTGCACCAAAGATTAGTTTAGTGAGAGTACACAGGACAATACACAACATTAAACTACTAGAAGTTTTAACCTAATCAATTCTAAATACTGATGACAGTCAATAGTTGATATACCTAAAGTGAAACTAGAGATAAGGTACTGATGACAGTCAGTAGTTAATATACCTAAAGTGAAACTAGAGATAAGGTTGCATGTGCGTATACATTCAGATTATCCATACTTAGAACAACTATATATACATATATACTATGTACAATTAATGGAAATGCATAATTATTCTACACTGATAGTGTCATAGTCATGAATAAATAATATAGGGAGACAAAAAAAAAGTATGTACCCAGCAGTACCTGCTTTTTTGATAGCATTGCAATTATTCTTGCCAGAAAATTACCCCTTCAGTGTCTCATCTTCAATGCCTGTAAAACTGAAGTATATTTGGGATCACAAACATATTTTTGAAAAAAAGTTTCAAAAGGAGGCAGAGATGTTTTAGATGATTTGATTGTGAAAGTATAACAACTAAGAAATTTCTTATTTAAAACTAATATGTCATTTTAACAGGCATCATTGACAATTGCTGACCATAACAAGACATGTAAATGTATAATTGGTGTCTATTTTAAAGCAATGAGATTGTCTCCTAATTTAATACTTTAGCCGCCTGATTTTAAACTTATTGCCCTGTGGTCCTTTTAAACAGTTGAGATCAGTTAGTATTTGAACAGATATACTCTTTTCTACAACAATTTTTCCATACATTTAATATACTGCTTTTTAACATATATAGAGTTCACACACTTCATGCTTTCTGTATGTTTAGTCAGTGACATTGGTGTTTAAAGAATCATTCCACCCCAAATTTTATGTAAAGCAAATAAATACACTGGTCAATTTCTCACTAGACACAGCATGCCAGTATACATTATACATCTATTGATATTCGGTACAAGTTATAATGATAGCTGATGGAGGTCATCAGGACAAGTTCTGATGAAGGTCATTAGTTCAAACTCTGATGAAGGTCATTAGTTCAAGTTCTGATGAAGGTCCCGAAGGTCATTAGGACAAGTTCTGGTGAAGGTCCCGAAGGTCATCAGGACAAGTTCTGATGAAGGTCATTAGTTCAAGTTCTGATAAAGGTCATTAGTACAATTTCTGATGAAGGTCATTAGTACAAGTTCTGATGAAGGTCGTCAGTACAAGTTCTGATGAAGGTTGCTAGTTCAAGTTCTGATGAAGGTGATTAGTTCAAGTTCTGATGAAGGTCATCAGGACAAGTTCGGATAAAGGTCATTAGTTCAAGTTTGATGAAGGTCATCAGGACAAGTTCTGATAAAGGTCATTAATACAATTTCTGATGAAGGTCATCAGTACAAGTTCTGATGAAGGTTGCTAGTTCAAATTCTGATGAAGGTCATTAGTACAAGTTCTGATGAAGATCGTCAGTTCAAGTTCTGATGAAGGTGATTAGTTCAAGTTCTGATGAAGGTCATTAGTACAAGTTCTGATGAAGGTCATCAGGACAAGTTCTGATGAAGGTCATTAGTTCAAGTTTGATGAAGGTCATCAGGACAAGTTCTGATAAAAGTCATTAGTACAATTTCTGATGAAGGTCATCAGTACAAGTTCTGATGAAGGTTGCTAGTTCAAATTCTGATGAAGGTCATTAGTACAAGTTCTGATGAAGGTCATTAGTACAAGTTCTGATGAAGATCGTCAGTTCAAGTTCTGATGAAGGTGATTAGTTCAAGTTCTGATGAAGGTCATCAGGACAAGTTCTGATGAAGGTCATCAGGACAAGTTCTGATGAAGGTGATTAGTTCAAGTTCTGATGAAGGTCATCAGGACAAGTTCGGATGAAGGTCATTATTACAAGTTCTGATGAAGGTCATTAGTACAAGTTCGGATGAAGGTCATTAGTATAAGTTCTGATGAAGGTCATTAGTACAAGTTTTGATGAAGGTCATTAGTACAAGTTCTGATGAAGGTCATCAGGACAAGTTCTGATGAAGGTCATTAGTACAAGTTCGGATGAAGATCTGTTCTCTAACAGAACAGTGAAAGTTCAGAAACAGTATTTTATTAAGTTTGATTCAATAAAGAGTTAGAACTTGTATTAAGCTCGGTATCTAATATATGAGAAAATCATGCTAATATTTGTGAGTTATGAATAGATTATGAAGTATTGGTTATATATAAAAGTCAATGGAAGTGATATCAAAATTGTATCATACACCAAAAAACCCATCGGAAGATACAAGTAACATCTCTTTATATAAACAGTGGTGTACAGAGATAAAAAATGTTTTGTCAACTGCTTAATTTTAGCCTTTTTGACTCTCAGAAAATGAATAATTCCATATATAGTTTCAAAATAAAAATAAATAAATAGATAAAACACTATTTGTTGAGAATTTCTATTATTATCTCAGGGTGCCTGTATAAATAACATCTATTCAATAGATACACTTTTACACATTTGTCTCACTGATTTTCATGACATTGGGTTTCCTCGCATTTTATATCTTAATTTTGTATCATGACATATTGATCAATAATTTCAAGCAACATGTAGAGGTGATCATGTTTGAAAATGCCAAATTGTGTACTATAACTGAAGGTTAACTTTAAAATCATCTCTTTCTTAAATGTCCAGAGAAGGTTTACACAAGGTTCATGGTACAGGTATCTCCCATGGCGTTTTCTAACTAAAGGACAAGGTCGTTCAGATACCAGATAAAGCTTCATGTATGTAAACTTTGACCGTTTTGGTGAAAACAAGGTACCACACACACATGCCTTTTCTGTTAACTGATCAAAATAGTCCTGGATGATAAGACTGTAGAAGCATGCTGACCTCTTTCTTACTAACCATGTATTCAAATAGGTCAGATTTACTTACCACAAAGTATAAAGCATGCTAAAACAGTTCTAAATTAATGTATAATATCAGAATATATCATATATTTTCAAAGTGAATATTTGAATTCTTTTTTGTTTTGGTCTTTTTTTAAGCAGGAATGTCTTCCATTTCAAAATACTTTAAAGATAAGAATGTTTAAACAGTTTTTGTAACTTTTTATATACCTGAATATTTCAATACACTTGAGTATTATTTTATAATATATATATATATATATATACATATTTATATTTTTTGCCCTTTAATTTATTGATAAACTTCACATATATTTCAATATTTTTAAAAAAAAACATGTTGAACAGCTGTTCATCTGTATATTTTAGATATATTCTATACAAATTTGTTAAATAGTTATTTTTGAAATCTGTTTACTTCACTATTTTCTTTTTAAATTTGTAAAAAAAGCTGTACATTTCAATATTTCATCCTTTTCTTTATATATTTGTTACACAGCTGTATATTGGCATAAATAGATTTCAATATTTTCTTTAAAAAATTTGTCCAATAAATATACATCTGTATATCTCAATATTTCCTTTTTATAGATTTGTTAAATAGCTGTATATTTGTATTAAGATCCCCTGATATATGTTAAAGGACATCAGGATGTATATGGAGTTAGCACATCCTTACACACCATTTGGTTTGAAAACTTCAGAATTCTTCATAGATTATGTATATGGTGTTTGTTTTACAAAGAAAACCTAATCTACAATATTTAAGAAGATAAAGATGTTAAACTTCTAATATAAAATTACAAATGTATAAAAAAAAATGTGTGGATTTATAGAAAAACCCATGAGTGGGCACATTTTGTTAGACAAGAGATTTAAGATGTGTAGAGTGGAATGTCATACACTAGATGTCTGGCCCCGACCTGGTATGTATTATGTCTGACCCTGACCATATATGTATTGTCTGGCCCCAACCTAGTAGTATATATCTGGCCCCGACCTAGTTTGTATTATGTCTAGCCTGGCCTAGTACATATCATGTCTGCATATTATGTCTGACCACGACCTTGTACGTATTACATCAGGCCATGACTTAGTACATATCATATCTGCGTATTATGTCTGACCACGACCTTATACGCAGTATGTCAGGTCATGACTTAGTACATATCATGTCTGCGTATTATGTCTGACCACGACCTTATACGCAGTATGTCAGGTCATGACTTAGTACATATCATATCTGCATATTATGTCTGACCATGACCATATACGTGGTATGTCAGGCCCCAACTTAGTACATATTATGTTTGGGCCTGTCCTAGTACATTTAGGTCATATTCTCT